AACATCGCAATGATCCTGAATACATCGAGCGCAGACGACTGAAGAAAGAGAAGAAACAAAAAGAAAAAGAGATGGCAAAGCTATTGAATGAGGAGGTGAAGCCACTGCCAATTGCAATACCTCGTATAAAAGAACCACCAACCAAGTCAACACCCGTGCAGCTAGAAACAAACGAACCTAGTGGATCAAGATTAATCGTAGGAGTTAATAGTAAGCCCGAGGCATCAGAAGGTACTGCTTCTGCTGCTCCCAAACTTAGAATTAAATTCAAAAATCGGACGTTGAACAATTCATAATGGATGTATTCAGCTCTTCTTCGTACATTAGTTGAAATCCCTACCAATTGTTGTCTTTCAACGTTATCCTTCTTCCGAGGCAAGGCATATAATCTGAGCTCTGTGAAATAACACAATGAAATTCAATCAATTCGTGTTTCCCCCTTATCACTATTCTGCCCTACTATGAGTTATCACGAAGCAGTTCACAAGTGATCACTTCTTTCTTTTGCTTTATTATCTGCTTACCTAAATGATTGGCAGTGATTATGGTTGGAGTGGGTCGTCTACAGAGTGACATTAATCTGTCCATGTTTGTTTATTTTTTGGTTAGTTTCCATTGAAATGGAGATACATTAGCCTAGTCATAATTACACAATTCAATTACTTGGAATGCTGTTAAGTTATTACATGAATGTTGCATAGAAATGGTTCTCGAAGGAGGACGAAATGGAGCCTAGATTTGCTTGGCTCGCCTAAAGGAATGATCAACCTCTAAAAAGTGACTTTGTGTCATTAACAAGCGAATTGGGCCAGCTTTTGGCTATCAATGGCACCTTCAAAAAGAAGTTTCTTGCTGCAATATTCAAGTCTTTAACTGAATAAGGGAGTATTTAGGGTGAAGGATTGGATCTATGATTGATTTGAATAGTAGTTCAATGAAGCTAGGAATCAACTTCTATTTTAAGGAGATCCACAGCCAATGTTTGTGAGTAAAGAACAATGCCAAGATAGGCAACCATCTTGAAATGAAGGAATAAAGATTGGTTTATGGAATAAAAAGAGGGGAAAAGCAAAGAAGGTGCTAGAAGAGAACAGCAAAAAGAAAGTGAAGAGTTAGTCAAAACAAAGGACAAAAGAGAGGTGTTAGGCTTACAGAAATCTTCAGTAGACTGTTCAGTGTTACAATAAATGTTGATGCTTAGGCTCTCTTATCACACTGCCAAAGAAATAAATGTGCTAGGCTTACAGATTTTGTTGTTTGTTCCATTGGATATTGCAGCCAGTCAGCCACCAGATTCTCTCATCCCTACTTTTCTGCCACAGCGTGTCGACTGTTTACTGCTCATTCACTTGAGGGCCCAGCTGCTTCCTCACAGCCTTCTCTCTCCCCATTCAAAACCATTGAAAACTCCTCAAAACTCCTTCTTTTCTAAGTTCTAAATGATTTTCTGCAGGAAATGTTTCATCCCTTTTCTTAAAAATGTATTAGCATCCTAATCACTGCATTTGGCTTCCCTTGAAGTTACTATAATTACATAATTCTGTACGTTGTTGTGATAGTAATGAAGATTTGCAGCAGAAGAACGAAGATGGAGACTGAATTAACCATTTGTGTAAGGGTTTATATTAACGATTTGATACTAAAATGCTTGCTTCATCACTCATGGTTTTAAGTACAACATATACAAATCCTCTCATCTTCACTTCACGATTTAGAGAAACTTTTCATTTGTCTATCTCATACTTTTAAGATGCGTCTAATAGGGAAATATTTTTCCCTTACAAAAAAATTCATTCTCATTTTCAACCGATCTAAGATCTTACAATCCGCCCCCTTTGGGGGTCTAGGGTTCTCACTGACACTCATTCCCTTCTTTAATCGATGTGGGATCCCCTCAATCCACCCTCTTTCAGGGCCAACGTCTTTACTGGCACACTGCCTCGTGTCCACCTCCTTCGGGGTTCAGCCTCCTCACTGGCACTATCGCCTGGTATCTGGCTCTGATACCATTTGTAATGGCTCAAGCCCACCATTAGCAAATATTGTCCTCTTTCGGCTTTCCCTTTCAAACTTCCCCTCAAGGATTTTAAAACGCATCTACTAGGGGGAGGTTTTCACACCCTTATAAATAATGCTTCGTCCTTCTCCCCAAACTATGTGGGATCTCACAATCCACCTTCCTTTAGGGCCTAGCGTCCTCGCTGGCACTCGTTTCCTTCTCCAATCAACGTGGGACCCCTCAATCCATCTCCCTTCGAGGCGTCCTTGCAGGCACACCGCCTCATGTCCACCCCCTTCGGGTTCAGCCTTCTCATTGACACATTGCCTAGTGTCTAGCTCGATACCATTTGTAATGACCCAAGCCCACCACTAGTCGATATTATTTTCTTTGTTCTTTTCCTTCCAAACTTCCCTTCAATATTTTTAAAACGTGTCTGTTAGGAGGAGGTTTCCACCCTTATAAAAAAAAATGTTTCATTCTTCTATATGACTACAAATAAGACCATTCTTTGTAAAGATTATTTTTTCAAGCATATGCATTATAATATATATGTATGAGTTGAATATCATAAAAACTCTTTGTAATATGCATACAAAACCATGACTTCGCCAAAGTTATTACAAAATTTCAGTCAAGGGTTTGACTTGAATGAATACATATCCCACAGAATCTAACTTTATCCCTTCCTATGCCCCTAACTTTGACCACATTCTACAGAGGTGAGATATCCTAACATCAACCATCATTCTACCACTAACCTGATCTTGTATGTCTTATATTCAAGGTTATATTTTTGGTATTTTCGATCTATATACAAATAAGACCAGTTCAGTTAGAGATTTGAATCTTTGTCTTGAACTATAGAAGAAAATTTAACCCTATAAAACGTTATAAAATGTTACATATCTGTACAAGTTAAATTTGATTAAAACTAACAGGTTCTCCTTGACCTAAGTTGCATTCAAAGAATTCTTAATCTCTACCCATTTACCATAATGTGACTAATCATTTGTCTCTTAGGTAAGTTCTGTTCATGATCGGTCCATATCTAGTATGTGCGTTACAGCATTGAGAAGACCTTTCTCTACTACGAAAGGACCCAAAATGACCATCTTTGGCGTATCATTATCATGTCAAGAAACATCAATTTTTAGTGAGTTCAAAACTTAGTGTGCTTTTGTTCTTCAATAGTTGAAATTTAAGGGACTCTACTTTTGTAGGTTTTCCCTTTTTGTCTATTGCTTTCTGTTTTCACACAGTTTTATAGCGTAACTTCAGCAAGCTTTTAGGCTAATACTGTAAAACTCACCTAATACTCCATATGCTGATTTTTCAATTTCTAACCATGCGTCATCATTGCTCAAGAAAAAAAAAAAAAAAAAAAAAAATAGAATCAAGATTTGCATTATATTTTGTCTTTGGAACAATAGGAGCGACCCATCTAATCGATAATTTTAAACTGTTACATGTACGAAACAAACGGTAAAAATATCTCACAACTGTTATTAAGAAAACATTTACATTGTGGCGATTTTGTTCTAAGTATAGGGTCGACCCTATATTCATTATTAGTTGCATAATTTTTATTTAGTTGAACTATATGAGAGTGAAGATTCAAACATTTAACCGTAAATGTATAATACTTCAATGATCGAGCTAAACTCAAGTTGGGTCTTAAATATGTAGCTTTTTTAGTACATCAAAAGTGAGATATAAAGATTTAAACTCCAAAAAGGTACATGTTGATTATCGCTACTAAACCAGTTTGACGATTTTAGTTGTATAATTGAAGAAGGTATGTTCCACTTACTAATTACTTGTTTAATGATGTTTGGTCGTGTTTTTAATTGTGTAAAAATTTGTAAAGTTATGGTGAGGCGAGGTTGATAAGAATTAAAAAAATTGAATCAGTCCTTTCAATCCAATCAATCAAATCAGTAAAGCCTTAGAATTAGTTTTTGTTAGGGAGCCAATGAAGAACTAATTACGTCCTTGTGTTGTCTGCAGAATTGTAGTGCTTCTGTGGGCAGCCATGGAAACCTCCTCGCCCAAGTGCTTATATTTTCAGGTACCCTTTTAACCTCTCTTCTTCTTCTTCTTCTTCTTCTTCTTCTTTGTTTCTTTCATATTCAGTTTACGATCTAAATTCTTACCTTCAAATGGGCTGCTTCATAATTTCATAATTCTATCCAATTTTGAATATAAATTTCTAAACCTAATTTACATGGGAAGTGGGAATTTTCAGTTCCTTTTGTTCAAGGAGAATCAAATTTTATGTATTATGTCTATCAAATTCCTAATACAATTAATCTCTTTGGATTTTTATAATCTTTTAGTGAGATGTTTGTTCTATGTGCTTATTAATTTTATTAGTTCAATTACGTGTAATTTAAAGATTTGAGCTTTGAAAGGAGTGTATTAATATTTAGGTTTTCAATTTCTTCATAAAAAAATGAGGGAAAAGTCTACTGTTTTGAAAGAGTTAAGCAACCCATATTTGGAGGGCTGATCCAAACTCCGCCATTCAAATGACAATCATAGCTTTTTATACGTGAGTTGTTGGCCTAAAATCGTGTAAACCAGAAAAGAATCAAGCATTAGTGATTTTCACATTAGTTCTAAAAGCATTATTTCTATTGAGATATTTTCGTTCCCTATCGTGTGAGTTCTTTAGTAGATAACTCAAAACTTGTGGTGTGCTGTCTATTCCGTCTCTTATGTCCTCAACAAACCCCCTTCTTTTTCGATGTCAGATCCACCTTTTGACTGTTAAAAATTTACGAACCATTTACTCTAAAGTGCATACTTTAAGAGTCATTGCTGAAGAAGAGCATCCTCCCTACTCTTACTTATGGGACTAAATCAATACAAAAATATCTTGATCAAGTGTGCTGAGTCTTCTCTTTTACTAATTTTCTAATAAATACTGTAAATAGAAAACTTAAATTGAAATTAGTCCATAAAAAAGAAAATAAAATGAAAAACATCTGATGGTGATTGTGATGGCCAAGTCATGAAGGAATCTATCAGTGGAATCGGGTGGCTCACAGCCACAATTTTACACGGTGATCGTCGACGGCCTTCCACTTTCCAACCCTATATAACTGTGCTCCGTCCTGGCCGCCGTCGTTAAGGCTTCCGTTTCCCTCCTGGGTTCTGTCACCTTGCGGCGGTGCTCTCCGAAACTGCTCCTCTTTCCAGTTTCTTTCATTCTTCTTCTCTCTTTATCTTAATTCGCTTGTTCTTGCGTTTTTTCTTCCGATTTGGTTAAAACCCACTTCAGATTTCGTAAGATCTATATGAAAAAAGAAATGGCATCTTTATCTGTTATTTGTTCAAGTGAAGGATCAGATCCTGCAGATTCTTGTCCTCTTTCTTGTTTATTGATATCATAGTTTCATGTTCTCAAAAGGGTATCTAAATTTGATATCAAGCTTTGATTTTTCCCCCATATGAATACCGATGAGATCCTTTTAGGGTTTCCCTGTTGCTATAGATCTTCAGTTTTAAAGGGAGAATTTTGAGCTTGTTTAGGGCTTGCTAAAGGAGCTGCCTTTTTAGGGTTTTCTCTGCTTTTCTTCTTAGAGGAGTCTCAAAGATTGTTTCTTTATGTGTTTTGCTTCATGGGTTTTGTTGTTTTTCGTTATCAAACAAAAATTTTTTGTGATTCATATATTGTTCTCATGGAGAATGGGAAGAACATGTTCCTTTTTCTTGTTTTCTGCTAAAATGTTTCATCTTCTTGAGCAATAGATTGGAATTATTGTATCTCTTCTCTTTTCTTTCCTTTCCATTTTTGGGTGGGGAATCTTTTATGCAACTTAAATGCCAAAAACTCACTGGTTTAGGGTTTTAATGGTGAAGAAGCCAATTAATCATGAGTGGAGCAATTACTCCCCACTAATTTTCACCCATTGGGGAGTTTTGCATCAAATCAGAGGAAATAAATGGAGCCAAAGTGATGAATGCTAGAACATTATTGTGATCTGATGGATTAGCTTTGCCATCTTAGGTTGAACAAATATAATAACTAAATTAGACCATAATAAACATGAAAATCCAATCTTTACTTGTTAATCTTAAATGGGTAACTCTCGAATTTTAAATTTAGAGCTATCTTATACTCTAAACAAATCTGAATTACGATTTCCGCCCTTTGTTTTGGAAGTGATGACGCCCTAAGAATGAGTATTAATTCCATAATATTATTGGTGATTGTGCAGAAAGAAAGTGTATGGGAAGGAGGAGTGGGTATTGATAGGTTGCGAAGAGGACACTCATTATGACAAGACTCTTATACTTTCTTTGCCTTTCAAATGTCATCTTCCTCACTCCATTATCCACAACTAACTAATGTTTCAAATCTTTGGTAAGTTTTAACAATTTCCATTCATTATTTTTACCAAACATCATCTCTTCTTCACTTGCTTTTCTTTTCTTTTTTCTCATATAACTTTTTCTATTGTAAGCTTTTGTCTAAAGTGTTTGGATACTATAGTTCGGATATATCTCAAAATTAGCTCGAAAACTTATATCTGTTTAGTTTCAAAAGTTTCAAAATCGTTTAATAGATCTACGAAGGGTGTCTATACAAAGCCGTTCTCTTGTGAGGGGGTACGTAGGTTGGGTAGGAAACATTTTTTAACCGACCTAAAATTTCAGGTTGATTAGGTGATTGACTCAAAAGGCATGAAGAGAGTTCACAATCCAATCCAACCCTCTATTTTTGCAATGTATAATTGGTTGTTTAACTTTTTTAGTCCACAATACATGTCGTGTTAATATCTAAAATCTCATGAAATTCAAATATCAAACATTCATAAGTGACAACTTATCATTAATATTTGTTACCAATATCAATTTTTTTTTAATATATAAAACAATCTTGAAAGTAGGGTTGAGTTTGATCGTGAACCCTATTTTTAAATAACAAACCTTACCCTAATAGTGTAATTTATATTTTCAGGTTTGCCATTTAAATTTTATAAAATGAAAATATTCGTAGAACACTCTTAATTTGTGTCGTGACTCATGTATTTATATTTTATATATATATATATATAATCCTACTCAAGTACACTCTTAATATATGATATACACTCTTAATATATGATATACTAAAGAAGGATAAAATTTTTAACATAAACATAAACATAGTTCAATAGTTGAATTGATCTAAAATATATATGAGGGCATGCTATGATCATAAAAGTGATATCATATTTCAGGGGTCCAGAAGGAAGAGCATAGAGTTTGTTTGCAAGCCCAGCAGCAAATGAGAAAGAAGGAAGATAATGAGGAGTGGATAGGTACTGTTTCTTACCCCCTTTTCGTAGCCAACCAAGTCCATTACTTTCCTCTAGTTTTGTAGGAACTAATGCACATCTGAAACACAAACAAACTGCACCTAAAGTACTTCAACAAATTCAAACAAATTCAAACTTTTAGTTTGGATCATCCTCCATCAACATATCACACCAACATCTCATACTCTAATACCTTTTTAGCACTCGATCATGAACAAATTCAAACTATGAACATAATTCATATTGTCTTTTTTGGATTTTCCTTTCAAGACTTTTAAAACGCGTCTCTAGTTAGAGGGAGACTTCCACACCTTATAAAGAATGTTTCGTTCTCGATGTGCAATCTCACAACTCCTCCTAACAGATGCACTTGAAAAACCTTGAGGGGAAGCCCGAAAAGGAAAATTCAAAGAAGACAACATCTGTTAATGGTGGGCTTGGGCCGTTACATTATAGAAAAATGTCGAACAGTTTGGTTTGTTGATAAAGCTAAGGATGACACCAAGGTGTTACGGAAATTGGATAACATTGATTTGAAAAAGACACTCAAAGTGAAGCCAAACATTGGTGATATAAACTGGGATCGCATTTTCTTTGACATGACAACAACATATAAGCTTTGTACTTCATAAACTCAGTTCCACTACAATTACAATCACCAATACTAAACCAAAAACTTAACCTTTCTAAACTTACTACTAATTGGAGCTGATGTTTCACTAAATTTGATATCTTATGACATGATTTAGTGGGTTTATGTTGTTAATGGAGGTACTTTAATTAGTGTCATTAATCAGTGTTTAAGAATTCGAATCATGCACATTTAGAGAAAGTGGGTATGCCTAATTCCTTTCTCTTCTGTCTATTCCATCACTTCCTAAAAGCTTTGCTCTAAATCTTTCATTACTGCCTTCGAAGTAATCCACAAACCACAACATCATGAACAGTTTCGATGAAAATAATAATAAAAAAAAAAAACATAAGAAAAATGTGGATAAGGAAGAAACACAATACAATAGAAATGTTTCTATGTTTTACATCAATTTGGAACACAAAGTGAAGAACACAACACAACAAGAAGTTATCAAAATAACAATAATATTTGTTTTCCACTTGGTACCTCCTAGGTTTCTTTGAGGAAATTAAGAAACACCGCCATCCCATGTTGGATTATAACTTATCCAAAGATATTAGTGTCTTCAAATTCATGCTGCTGCATAAAAATCAAGTGGGTTTAGGTCAAAATCAAAAAAAGTTACAAACTTTAATGTATATATACTCACCGGTTGGAGAAAATTTAAAGAGGAAATTGATGGGCTCCATTTTGTCATAATCTCAAAGGAACACAAGTTTTCATCCTCCATGGCAGGGTTGAAATTGTAGCTGTGAGTAGCTCCTGATTCTTCCCCACCAGTTTCAAAGGGGCTGCTCCAAGAACAAGATGAAATTTTGTTGTGATTTGGATGATGATGATGATGATCTGAACAATCCTTAAAGATTTGATTTTTCTTCTCCATTGTTCTTGCCCTGGCTCGTTCCCTGGCCTTTTGTCTCAATTCCTTGCACATGGTTTTTCTTGGCTGTTTGTCTCTTTTCCTCTTCAAAGAACAAGAGTTTATCTTTTTAGGTCCTCCGCCGCCAACTTCATCAATTCCAGACACCATGTCAGCCTCGGAGGAATTGGAATTGGAATTGGAATTGGAATTAGAACAAACAGTAGTAGTAATGATGTGGCTGCAATTTCTTTGTTTTGCAAGTTTCAAAATTTCAGGGCTGGCTTGAGTGAGCAGCCATTCAACTGTTTTGCTACCTTTGTCAACACCCAACAAATCTTGTAACCCAAAGAACTGACGAGCTACTGGCAGTGAGAGCCTCATTCTACGGTCTCTTAACCCTCGAGCTGTGGTGATTTTGCTATGTCTGTCCTTTTTTGACAGTCTTTTTCTTGGGATTTTGAGCTTCTTTTGATCTGAATTCCCAATGCCCATGTTGTTGTTCGAGGCAAGAACGTTGTCAGGACTTGGAGTCGTAAAAATCCTCTCAGAATTAGTAGTGAAATTGTGAAGTTGATCATCATATTGTTCATCAACTTCAAAAGGAGAAGGAAAGGGGAAGAAAGAGATGGGGAGATGGAATGAATGGTCATGATCATCATCATTTTTGGTGGAGAAGAACATGTTTTTGTGTGTTTCTATATGATTTAGAGCCCAAAAAACGTTGAAAAAAAGAAGGAAATAAGGAAGTTGTGTTCAAACTATGGAAAAAGACATAGATTTGATGATGAAGTAGAAAGAAAAAGAAAGGTTCACATCCTTTTCACTCCCTCTCTTTCCCAGTAATTTTTTTTTTTTTTTTTTACCTTTTTTTTCTTGTTTGGAATCTATTGTTGTGTNGTAAAAAAAAAAAAAAAAGGAAGTGAAATTGAAGGACAAGCTATGAGTAGAGCTTGAGAAAGACAGCACGGAGGAGGAGGAGGAGGAGGAGGAGGAGGAGGAGAAGGCTGCGTTTATTTAATGGGTAAAGAAAGACAAAGGAAAGGAACCATCTCTTTCTAAACCCCTTTCCTTTTGAGCATAAAGTTTGCATTTTTATAGCCATATTATGGTAAGTTATATAAGTGAGTGAGTGAGTGAGTGAGTGAGTGAGTGGGCTTTTTCACGTGGTTTGCAGCATAGCATGTTTGACAAGAGGGATGTTAGGTCTTGCTTTGAACCCCACACCCCACTAAACTTCTTTCTCCTTAAACACTTCACCTCTTGCCTTAACAACTCTCCAATTCTTGCATGGCTCCTTCTACGCCTAATTAGGGTTTGGTTTTAGTATGTATTATGACCCATTATCTGGTTTAGGTCCATTTTAATCCTCAACTTGAATACGACTCTTCGTGATTGAAACATTTATACCCATCTTGAAGGTCGAAGCGTAAATTTGTTCGTTCATCCAATCTTTATCAAATTTCTTGCTAAAAAGCCTACAATTGTATAGTTCTATGTTAAATTAAGACAATAAACTATAAAGACATAAACTTTACCTAAAATCTTAAACTTAGATAAATTAAACAACTTTTTACATAGAAAGATGAATGGAATCATAAATTCACCAAATTGCATCCATTATTTCATGAGTAACGAGCTTTATTAAGTAATGATGAGCGATAAAGTTGGGTTGAATAGGTCCTCGTGGCTATGTCTAAGATTTAAAAGGGAAAGGACAATTATTTGAGTGAAAGAGGGGAGGGGGTAGTGGAAGAGAGGAAGAGAGGATGAAAATGGAGAAGACATTACATTGGGGAATGTCACTTTCCACAAAAAGAAGAGACACCTTCTTGCTTTCTCTCTCTCTCTCTCTCTCATCTTCACCCTTAAGTGTCCATCAATCAAACTCACCACGGCACAAGAAGAGAATGTTGTTGTTGTTGTTGTTGCTATTGCCTTTCAGAGAGCCCTACCTCCATGCGTGCTTATCTCTTTCTTTTCTTTATTTTTTTCTGTCTATGCCTTCGAGTGACATCAACTTATGATGGCCCCCTTCGTACTTTGATCACTGTTCATACAAAGACCTTGTGCTGCAGCCCTAGCCACTCACCAATTACCATTTCTTCTTCTTATTTATTCTCAAAATGGCAATGCTATGGACACAAATGGAGGCTACTGCTTTCTCCCCTTCAAGATTTGCTTTCTTTTGGGCTTCAGCCCATTATTAGTTCTTCAACCACACTACTCATGAACACGACAACTCCAAATTTCTGCTACTACTGTGTGCCTCACACTCAGTTTTCAAGATAATTCTGTCTGTGTTTCCGATGATTTTACCTCAAACATCATTCTAAACACAAGAGGTCTACTTGAGAGAGATAGATTTGTAGTGGGAGCTTAAACCAACTTTGCTTTTTTCTTCGTTATCGTTAATTTTGTGATTGTTAACTTATTTGGGAACAATCTTATTTGGGTAAAGTGGGGTTGAGATATAATTTTGATTTTGTAATGATTTATGTCTCGTATAAACTTTTGAGTTCAGATGTCATTTGATCGACAGGGCCAAAACGTTTCGAGGGAATCACAAAATTTGATCAAATAATTTTATACGTTGGAAGATACATATCGAAGATAAAAGTTAAGATAGGAGATACCATATAGAAAAGATTGAGAATTCACGTGTTGATTCTTGTATTATTGGAACCCAAACCATATGGGTTGAATCGGATTGATGAGTATTTTCGAGTTATCGGGTCGAGAATATCATTTAATTTTTTTTTAAAATTCTATTTTGTAATCATTAACTTAACTATTTATAAACTCATTTTCTTCACTAAAAAAAGTTGTCTTTTTTATTCCATTTTTACATGTCCACCTCCTTCTCTCTCCCAACCCACTTATCCACTCTTTTTTTTTATTATTATTATTAGTTTATTTGTGTGTGTAGTACTGAGCTAGGGCTGAAACTGACTGGTTTGTACTGACAAGATAATGCAAAGCCTAGCTGTCTAAGTACAAATTTTGTGTTTTAGGGTTACTTTCATAAAGGATAACTCCTAAAGATAAGGTGAGCTGAATAATATGTGTACAAAATTTGTGACAGTCGACTCATTATCAACCCATCAATTCATCTCTACATCATTTTATGTACTTTAATTCCATTTTTTTTTTTTATTCAAACCCGTGACAATGTCATTGAAAACTACTTGAATCGATCAAATTGTATTAAGAAATAAGATGTTTTGACTGTTTATTTATGAGGGTTATACTCAGATTTTCTCAATGGATTCATATTCCATCTCGGTTGGTATGTTCTAATTGAATATTCGATATTGCTTATTTATAACTCTCCATTGATCTTTTATCTTTTGAGATCATTAATTTATCCGGGCTTTGATGACATGTCAATGTCACGGGGATTGTTTTATATCTGATTTGGTTGTCTTTTTTTTTTTTTTCAAATGAAAATGGTTCTTTTTTGGTGGGGCGGGGGGGGCTCAATTGGCCTTGAAAAGACATGAAAGTTTCCACAATATTATGTTCTTTCCACAAATGATGCTATCTTCTTGGTACTCTATGTCATCTTCATATTATAATATTACTTCTTTTATTATTATTATTATTTTCATTTTTAGTATAATCCAAACTTTATGGAAAAAGAAAAATGATTTTACATGATTTTTTTT